TATCTGTACCTTATCTTACGAACGCAATAATGAACGCTTTTCCAGAAGAATGGAGCGAAAACTTTCCCTATCAGCTTCTAATAGCGGCAGGAGTAGCCCTGGTTGGTATTGTTCTCCTGGCAGCGGTGAGTTTCCAATGCTCTTCCACTTGGCGATGGATAATGAACATAACTCGACATGAGAATGTTGAGGACACAGAGACCGATCAGATTCAACAAAATGCAATTCGCATCAGCCATTCTCTTCCGGACCTTCAATCGGAACCAATTACTCATGAATACGTTCAAGAGCAGAAGGATAATAAGAAGGTATTATTAACAAATTCAAATTAGTAAGACGTTCCGTAAAATTCTGCAACTGCTTTAACATTGACATTTTTTCAGGTATTGCGTCAAACCACTTTACCCATCGTGCCAATGAGACATCAAAGTTTTCAACGTCAATTATCGCATCGACTTGATCTGCCTAACATTAAATTTAGTATTTGCAGTTTCGAAAATCGCAGCGACTCCAGTCTTGGCCTTATCAAGGTATTTAGGTGTTATTTCGATACAAATCTTTATTATGATAGCTGTTGGAATGTAAGCAGCGACACAATATTATTCGATTCTCTTTGAAAAAACATCAGCTTATCAGTAATGTAACGTATAGAGTTCCGTTTATTCCGATTTTCTGATTTACTTCCAGTATCCTATTTTATGTTAATTGATACTATTCATAAATAATTGAAATTATAAATTTTTATTTTATTTATGAAATATAATATTGATGTGAACCCTGTGTAGCCGGAGTTGTATAAAAAGGAACTTGTGAGACAAGAGAGCGCGGAAAGCTCCAGTACAACAGAAATGGAATACGCCGGAAAATTACATTTTGCTCTACGCTATGACAAAGAAATCGAAGGTCTCGTTGTCAAAGTAAGTAACACGTAATATTTTTTGTCACAAATTTTAGTTGTATTAAAATATCATAAATTATACAATAATACGAATTTATTAAAAATGTATAGCATGACAGATAGAAAAATTCATAGACAAATATTTGAATAAAATATTATACAAAATAAATTCATAATTGTATAAATGAAACAAAAAATTTTCCCAAGCTAATAAATAACATGATCTGCGTATAAATTAATGAGTTCATATGTAAACCTCGTTTGTATAAATTGAATATGTATCTACCTGGATAATATTCAGCATGTAGGATATTGAATAGCAATGTAATATCACAATATTACATTTATGATGGATATATTCTCTACTATGCTAAAATTAGTCGTGATAACGTATAGATTAGGTAATATCAGCTACATTAAGCTATTACTGTATGTGATGAAGTCAAGATCAATTATACACAGTAAAATCATTTCAACCATGACAACGCTTCATAGATAATAGAATTAAAATATGATGCCATTACTGATCTTTGTTCATTTGTTGCATTGCACTATATGTAAATTGTTATAAAAATGTGTCAATATTTCAAAACTGTTATTTAGAGAGAAAGGTTTTTATAAAAGAGAAAGGTTTCATTTATGTAATATGATTGTACAATAGTTCAACTATTATTCTAGTTCAACTATAATTATTCTTTTTTTATTTGTCTACTAATATAAATACATACAAAGTAATGTTTAATAACATTAAAGTAAAAAATAACATTTAATGTTACTAATATTATTCAATCTCTCTCTTAAAAAAATAATATTATTTTTATTGTTATCTCGTATCATAAAATCTTATCTCAAGTTCAATGACATCTGATTCTTTAATATTAGGTTCTAGAAGCTCGCGAATTGCCAATAAAAGATGTAACGGGTAGTAGTGATCCGTATGTGAAGGTGTATCTGTTACCGGATAGGAAGAAGAAGTTTCAAACAAAAGTACATCGAAAGAATTTGAATCCAATATTCAATGAAACGTTTATCTTTAGGTAAAATAAATTTATTATATACAATAATTTATCTTGAAAAACTTTTTTTTAGTATTCAATTCTCTCTCTCTCTCTCTCTCTCTCTCTCTCTCTCTCTCTCTCTCTCTCTCTCTCTGTGTGTGGGTGTGTGTGTGTGCGTGCGTGCGTGCGTGCGTGCGTGCGTGCGTGCGTGCGTGCGTGCGTGCGTGCGTGCGTGCGTGCGTGTGTGCGTGTGCGTATGCATGTCGTGTGTGTGTGTGTGTGTGTATGCGTGTGTGTACATACATACATACATATATATCTTAAATTTTATAATTACGCAAAAAAATTAAAACGCAGTATTTGATATTTAATATATTTTATTAGTGTATCCTATGAAGAATTGAGGGAACGTTACTTACAATTCTCAGTGTATGACTTCGATCGATTTTCACGTCACGATCTCATTGGACAAGTAGTTCTTAAAGGGCTCTTAGATTGTACTGACCTTGAGCAAGAAATCGAATATACAATGGACATTCTCTGTGCTTTGCAGGTAATTTAATTTGCATGAAATAGACAATTAATTATGGTTACTTCGAGTGTAATTTTAACTTTTCAATATTATACGTAGGAGAAAGTCGATCTGGGAGAATTGATGTTGTCATTGTGCTATCTACCAACCGCTGGTCGTTTGACATTAACTGTCGTCAAAGCCAGAAATTTAAAAGGAATGGATATAACGGGTAAATCAGGTCTGTATAGAATGGATCAAATATTTTTATTATTATTATGTATTATTAATTCTTCATCTCTGCAATTATATTTTTACTCCATCTATCAAGCCAAGTTTTTTTTACTATTTTATTGTTTTACTGTTTTAGACTTTTAAAAAAATATAAAAAAATTTAGAGTTATTTTTTAACATCTCTATTACATTACAAAATATCTTTTAACAAAATATTTTTAGAGTGTGAACTGGATTCTCCTTCATTTTGGAAAAAATGAAAATTAAAAGCAAAATTTCGCTTATTCGCAAAAAAGACAGATTGCAGACCGAGAATGAATGAAAATATCTTCTAAGAATATAATATTATTACTATTATTGTCATAATTATTTGTATTATTATTATCTTTATTATATTATTATATTATTATAGCTGTAATCGACTGAATATGGTTCATTTCCTCATTAGATCCTTATGTGAAAGTCTATCTGCTATGTCAAGGCAAAAGAATAAAGAAGAAAAAGACAACGGTAAAGAAGAATACTCTTTATCCCATTTACAATGAGGCACTCGTTTTTGATGTTCCCTCAGATAACATCGAGGATGTCAGTCTTATAGTGAAAGTAATTGATTACGACAGGTAAAAACAAATTTTCGACACATTTTGAAAAATTGTTTTATTAAAATAAAAGAATGGAAAATTAAATATTTTATGCACACTAGAATCGGATCGAATGAGTTGATGGGCTGTACCGCGATTGGATCGAGCTTTATTGGAATAGGCCGTGATCACTGGTTAGAAATGCTAGATACTCCAAGAAAACCAGTAGCACAATGGTATCCATTAATGGAAACTGTAGCTGGTCATATTCCAGCCGTGGATTCGGAATCACTTCCAGTAAGCCTAAGCTGCTTAAACAGGGTTAACAGGTGGGTTTAATTCCTGCGCGAATTGTGATTAACCATTACAAGAAAACCGCTATATTGTTGAAATAGTGTCATATTTTGAGGCAAAGAGCACAATCAAATAATGAATTATAATAAATTTACTCAAGAAAAAATTGTAAAATTTTTAAAATAGACTTTCATCCTCTAAAGAGATAATCCAATAGTAGTTCATTAGAAATCTAAATTCTTATATGATAAAATAAAAATTTTAATAATTTTGTTGATGCTTCTGATAAAACTCGCAGATGAAGACAAAAGACAGAAAGTAAATACTGCAAGAGCTCGCAAATATTGTCGGACGTCGGCTTGGATATCGTCTCCTTCTGTCGTCATTTAATGCACATCGCTTGACTGACTTAAGTACAACTTCCGTCTCAAAGGAAGGCCGGAAGGCGAACTCTGTGCTTTGCAATCTTATCTCGTGCAGCAGGCATGAAATAATAAACGATCCGGCGTAACGAAAAAAACCACTCACTCGCGAAACATATGTTGCTCAATTCCGGCGATTCGATGGCGATCGTGACGGAAACGAGATAAATTTACGTTGCTTTATCTTTCGAGCTGCTGCTCGCGATTGTACGGGCTGGTCCCGCATTATTTCAAACGCAAGTTATTGTTGTATTTACAATATCCCCGTAGTATCCTCTCTTATCACACGTGATGTTGAGCATGACGGTAGTTTAAATGTTTTAGATTAATGCGTGAGATCAGCTAAAGTAAGTTTTTATAGAAGATGAAAATAAGTGAGAATTGTGAGGAGTTTAAGGCCTTATCCTCGATAAAGATGAAACGGACGAATGCAGATAGCTTTAGAGACGGATTATATTAGGGGCAGAGTATATATCATTGAATACGATAGATGTTTAAGGTAGTACAAATAGAGTTGAATCTATACGTCGTTTATTATTTCACGCTCGCTATCACTTCTGCGCAAATGTTCTATTAACGTGATATATGTTTAAACATAAAGAAGACTCGATACAAACGAGCACTATTTGTGATAATGTATCTGAAAACACATATGCATACTGACACATATATACATACAAGTACACACGTGGTCCAACGACCGCGTATATCAGTAGCTGCTTCGTACAAATATGTACGTTTGCAACTAACGCGTCTACTCAATTGTGAACTTGATAATAAATAAATGATACACATCGTGTAAGTTAATTATATAGTAATAAAAAAGAAGAGCAAGCAGTTCTGTTATTATTTAATAAATTACGGATATATTATTTATGTGCATGCCATGCATTTAAAAATATGATTGTAATATTGTGAAAATATGAGATTTTTAATGTAAACGTGTTTTCAATGAGACTGTCTGATTTTTTTATGTTGCGTTGGCCAAACTTGCGAATGTCTTTAACAAGTCTGTGTAAATTTTACTTTATTGATATATTTCTAAGAATATATATCTGATAACGTTTACACAGAATGCATGGAAAGAATTTGAGTACTAAAGAAATATGGGCGTTTCTGGAAAATATATGATAAATTGGGTATTCTCATATCAAATATTTTATAAAATAAAAATGCAATGACAAAATGTATTTTTAATTGCATTTACATCTTCTTATTTTTGTTAAAATTCAAATTATTCCTGTGATTTCAAATTTCTTAAGCCCCTGTCAGTTGTGTGAATAAGTGGTAATTACGCTACAAAAATATACGTAAGCTACACATAGTATAGAGTTATATTACGCAAATCATAAATAATCGAATGTAATATCAAAATTGAGGTGATATAATACAGTGACATATTGATTAGCGGAAAATGTGCCAACAAAATAATTATGTAACAAAAGTAGTGTGATTAATAATAGTATGTTTTAATATCACATGCTTGATATAGAAACTTCAGAATTAGTATGCTGTAATAATCTTAGAGTATCCCTCTATTTCAAGTCAATATATTTCGACTGTATGCCTTTTTTTCGTCTGTAAATTGTAAGAAACATCTTTCTAAATTCTCGAGAGTTTTCCATCTATTTCATTGTTCCAGCAATGCCCATAGAAAAAAAAACTCGATTTTTCGTACAAGTGGGACATTCTACCACAGGACTGAGCTTTCTCAATACTTCATGTAATACTTCATGTAATAAATGGGAGATAGAGTCGCTCCATACTGAGAGTAGTATTTAAACGAATTCGAAGAACTTGTATTTACATCAAAACACGATAAAATGTGATCTCTCCATTAGCGTTGTTATAAAGTTATTTAAATCAGGATGCGCTCGAAAATGCTAAAGTAAGCTTTCAGTTTTTTTTATTACAGTGTGTATCAGTAAAAAATTTAAACGTTCCTTTTTCTACCTCGAATACTGAATCATTAATTCATGAATGATAAAACGGCTTTTTGAGATGTAAATGGACTGCGTACTGGATTATAAAATATGAATATATAAATCTTGTGTGTGTATATTTATGAATATATAAACAAGATAAATTATATTATGCAAATGAATGTACATTAAAAATTGTGTTAGTATGTATTGTAACTCTCGAAAAGGATGAGTACTTTGTTTAATACTCTACTCTAATTATGAAAGCGATCGTACATAATTAATTTATAGACAAATAACAATAATATCGATATGGACGATGTGTATACTTTTCTAACGAGTACATACATATCTATATATTGTATATTTGAGTACATTCAGTGCTCCCTGTTATGATCGTGAATAACATAAATAAATCGGTAACAAGAAAAACTGTTATGTTTCATTTGCACAATTGCAGTATATCTTTTCTACTCTCTGAAAAATATATATGTGGATTTAACACAATGCGGTATTGATATCATTATTTTTATCGTGTTTATATCAATATAATATGACAAGAATTATATTTAATCCTCTGTTGGCAATATAAAATTTTATTTCTTCCGTCAGCCAGCAATCTTCGAGAAACAAAGCAGATTTTTTATTGTTCCGGATTATAAAAATGTAGAAAAATTCTGATATATTTATTAAAGCTACCAATGAGTTTCTATCATCACAGAAGTTGGATTGTGTTTTATTTATTTTTTACAAATTTAAATTTATCTATTAGAATTCATTCAATTAAAATGATGTCTTCTTATAAAAGACCTCATGTTACCGGCAGAGGATTATAATTTTAAATTCGTTCCCATATTTTTTTATAGTGTATCGCTTAAAATAAAATGTCAAATCTTGTTGTTAATCCAAGTTCAAGCTATAAAGAAAAAAGATCGTCTGCAACATCAAATGTACTTTTCATTTATTTGACTACTTATCTTTACAGATTATTCTACCTTATGCTAAGATACAACTTTCCCATTATGTTACCTTCTAATCGAACATTACAATACTTCTAAGTATAAAATAAGCGATAGAGCTTATATATACTGGTATGTAGCAACGACTTAAGTACCTTTCTACCTAGTAGTATTCCTTAAAAGTGGCGGGAATTAATCTGTACCGCTTATCTCCTGTCAACGACGAGATGCCCGTGATTACGGTTTGGCTTCGTCGAAAATCAATACGAGACAAGTATCGAGAGACTCTTTTGATGATGCACCCGGTCATCCTACATCCACCGATCGAGCGTCGAACCGCTCACGGACGCGCTTTAACACTGCCGGCAAAACAATTAGGCCACTAACTGTATTTTGTTCGCGGAACACAATCGTTTAGTCGTATTTATTCTTTTTTTCTCATGTGTTTGCGCGCGCAATGTCTTCAATTGCTTCAATTCATGAAGTGACGAAGATGTCATCTTCACCGAAGACACCCGCAGTCGGTGGGAGGCTCGATCCTGACGAGATGTAATCGCGCGATTAACAATGATCCGTAAATTGGAAGAGCCTTACTATGATCGCACGAAGATCGGGTCGTGTCAGATCGAGGTAGAAAAAAAACGAGTCAGTGCTTATAAAACATTGGTGCAAACGTTACTCGACGAGCTCCCTTAAATCTGCGCGATCGAGACTGCTCCAACTTTACGGCTACGTGTATATTGACTTTCGTATGTAGATGTAAAAAAAAAACCGATCATACACGTCGAAAGCTTTCGATCAACTATGAAGCTCTCTCGTTAGACTCAAGACGTCAATTCACATTCCATTGAGCTTTCTCGCACAAGTTTTACATTGATTCTCTATCCCGCGTCGCTCTTAAGTATAACTTTGAGAGACTTAAACCAGGTTTTTAAGTAGATAAATGTGAGCCTAATAAGTAAGCGCTTGAGTGTTATAGCCGCGTGTTTTGCAGCGTTTTGTTGTTCCTTTTCTGTTCCCGCCCGTGATTACTCTTATAAACAGACGCGTCAATTAGTCTATAGATGTAAGTACTTCTCTACGGGCAGCTCGCGGAGCGGATGAACCGGATAAAACTTTACACAGTTCTTATTATGTTCTTCTCCTCATAATCGTAATGTCGATAATTAAAATTATCACTTAACACGCAAACATTAAGGGCCTTATCCGACGAATATACAAATCTATGCTCCTATATAGGTAGCCGTCAATATTAAGTATGTTAATGTAGCCATAATCGTATAATAATAATAATATTAATAATAATGACGATAATAAATCGTAATCGTAATAATAATATAGGCAAACTCTTGTAGCGTTGTACTTAGCGTTATTTAAAATAGTAGCAATATTTTTTTTTATGTACTGAATGTTCAAGTACGGACAGAAATCGATCTGAGTTAACTTCCTTTATGTATATTAGCAATATGGAGGGAATTCACTAACAATTTGCTTAAAGAGTGCAGCACATTCTCACACATCTATAAACAAATATAAAAACTTATCTCTCTTATGTGACCTCTTGTCATCTCGATGCATTCTCATCCATTACGCTGCCTTCGCGCCTACTAAATAATTGCGAAAATACGTGTTGAATACCACGTTGTGCTACCACGCATCAAAATCATCCTCATTATTTCGCAATTCAATTATATTCCTTTTTAACTTGATGATTTTTATGAACAAGAAGCGATTTGCCAATTATCTTTGTTCTTCAGCCCAATCAAGCTAGATAGCTAGGTGACAAATGCAGTTTTGTGTGTGTGTGTGTGTGTGTGTGTGTGTGTGTGCGCGCGTGCGTGTGTGTGTGTGTGTGTGTGTGTGTGTAAATCGGCTAAAAGCAGGAAATGCAGATGGAATGTCATGCGTTTCTTTTTTTCGTTTTCTCTTTCCCATATTTCTCTCTTATCATAGCGAAAATAATGTCGATAGTGCACCTATACATCGAGTACACACGTAAACATTTACACGCGTGACACAAAAATTCGTTTCCATACGTAAAAAAATTAGCAATATTGTTGAAAGCACTCAGACACAACCCTCAACCCTTCGGCATTTCACCCGTATCATCCCACACTCTTCTTCATCCTTTCTCTGCCATTCATGCTTTCATTTTTCCGCGCGAACAAAACGACACGAACGATCATGCAGAAGCACGCCCATAATGAGTGGCAATACACCATTATTAACACGTTGCACACGTAACATTCTCCTATACATTTAAAAATTGTACGATTACCGATGATCAATTCGCGAGGGTTGCCCGTCTGATCGTTCGGTGCACAGCAAGAATCGATATTACGACCGTAGCGCTATCGTGATCTTGCAAGGTCAAAGTGATTGCTAGAACGACGGCATTATGCATTTACTTTATACAACTACACGTAAACGGTACGGCATATCTTTTAAATGTATCGACACCTAATTGTTGAGGATCGCAGATCGTGATTCATGACAGCGATTCGACGGTAATTCTTGACTAGAACACATATTGAGGTACAGGGAAATCTATCCTTGCCATTGTACCAAGAATCAAACAATATTAATCAATAAAATTGTTTAAAATGTCAAAATTTATTAAAATTATTAAGAATTATATGTGCGTTTTAAAAAGACTTTGATAACTACTCTCGCGTTAATATTCCGGAGTTTCTTCCGGATTACTTTTTAACCAAATTGATGACATCATTTGCTAAAATTGAAGACATCATGTATTTTGTTTTAAGCAAAGCAAATGATAAATGCAAAAGCGAATTGTAATTACATATAATGCATTATAAAATCACAGCGTCCTCTTAAATCGCGACGGTCAACTAAAATTTGTGATTCATTTCAAATGATTTATATTTATGTTTTTCTGCTTTCTTTCTGTATTCTCTCATCTCTGCATCCTTCTTCATTCTTTCATATACAAAGATTTTGCGACAACTATCTTGGCGACAGCGAAAATACATCTATCATTGTCATACGGCTACGAAGCAACGACAACAAAACAGTTTCCCCATCCTTCTGTCTTCTTAGATATATTAAGTAATTACTCGTTACACATGATTAAAATCAAGGTGACGGACAATATACTATATCCGGAATACGTACAAACAACTGAAGGCTATACTTATGCGGCATCTGTGTCTAAGACTAGCTCGTGAAATGCACAAGGCTCAAAATGACAATAGTACTGTAGTAACTACAAGACTATCGATCATATGTTCTACGATGGCAATACGATACAAACGAAAATCAAGCTAGTAATTCTACCGCCTATACGTGATCAAGCATCTTCTTCCCCATCGTTGTTGGCTGTTAAAGTGTACGTCTTTTTTTCTTCATTCTCTCACTCTCACAATTTCACGCTTTCTCACTCTCTTTTTCTCTTTCTCTTTCTTTCATCTCTCATATATCCTACTCACTCGAATCATTCTAAGGATCACCGACGACACATTCATACTTAAACGCGATCCTTGACAACTCGCGGAATGTTAAGGATGAATTCGGGATGTTACTTTAGCCTAAATAACTTGCTTTGCTGATTAATATACGTCGCGTGCGAAAATACCAAGAAATATCCTCGCAAAAAGTTAAGCTGGACGGCTTTGATAAAAATTAGGATCTCTTTCGAAGGACGCGAACATCAGGGTGTAGAAAGTGTTGCGGCGGCGGCGGCGAGGAATGAGGGGTAGGAGATTGATACCGCGGTCGGGAGAATGATTAGCGATGTGATGTCTACCGCGCAGCATTTACCAGTGCTATCGCGGTATCAATGATTTACGCAGTGCGTTCGCGTGCGTGTAGTCCGAACTGAACGTACAAGGTGCTTAGCCAAAAGGTTCGACGTGAGCGACATTAATACGTCTGAGAAGAATAGAATGCAAACCTCTCGCGATAATGCACGCCTTTCACTTCCTTGGCCCCTCTAATATAGGGAATAAAGCGCGCGTGTATGCACGTGTGTATGTATATATGTATAACGTGAAGAATTACATATTCCGTATTTACAATTGGACATTTAACGCTAGAGTGTCGTGGGCCAAATCCACGTGCAGTTCCAGGCATAAAAATAACATATGTATTCAGCTCCGCCGTCTCGTTGACACGGTTTCTTTCTTCGGGGCTCATCATCTTTTCCCGTTATAGCATACCTTTTTCTCCGCGCCGCGTGAGAAGAAATCGCGTGAACACTCGCGAACATAGATAAATCCGAGTCTTCGTTAATTGACTAGCGTTTTCGAGCGGCACGTAATATAATTTTCGCGCTTTTACAAGCATGCGACATGGTTTGATGTCCACTCGCAATAACGCGGGATAAACGGCCGGAACTCTGATTGCACCTCGCCCTCTGTACCACGCTCCGCTCGACCTCCTCTCTCACGGAAGCACTGCACGCAGCCATGTAAGCGAGTTTATTGCTGAACGTTAAAATTCGCAGTGCACCACATTTATTTCATTGCCGCTCGTTGCACCTAATTCGAAAACGATTGATTGAATATACTTTATATATCATAAATTGCGGCAAATCTAAAGATAGTCTGACGAGAAGCTGGCCCGTACAAATGTCGCGCAAATACTATGGTTCCCCCGTACATTCGGTACACTCGTGAGTGATCCATGGAAAATTGAACAAACGAAGCATCGTTTGTTCGAGAAAATACATGTAAATTCGAAGTTGTATTTGGAAAGTTAAGCGCAAGAGTTTGTTTTATAGGATGCGCCCTGCCTTCTTAGGCAAAGAAGAAGTCGTAATTTCAGTAACGCTGCTGGAACTCGTGATGCCATCTGTTAAAGTCGATGTGGAATATCACAATGGACCCGTTTGCCAGACCAGCTAGAAGAAACCTGTAAAAAACAGAATATATTTATGATTCGATTAAAAGAATATAATTTTAAAGTGGATTCCTGAAATTATGTGCAAACATTATTTCATTGTTAAAGACTAACAATAAGAAAAAAATATTTTTTATGTGGATTTCACTTACTTTTGATCATGAGCTAGTGCAAGGGATCGCACGCTGCTTTCACATGCGGGAAATGCATAAAGTAGGGCAAGATTAAAAGTTCGCCAAACTTCAACGATACCCTTGTCACCTCCAGTCATCAAGTACTCGCCGTCTCTACTCAGTAATAAGCACTGGAAATAAATTAACGGTATTAACATACAGAATTTATTGCATTTATAAAATTTGAGCCTAAAGCTAATTATGATCCTCAAAAACTCTAATCTAAAAATCCCCTTTTTCCTTTCCATCCTAACAAATACAACTCTTTTTGCATATCTCAGATTTATAAATATACTGATAAAATACTATTAATATCTTGTCAATGACAAATATCATGTTAATAAGTAACCACAAACAATAGTTCCACTGTTTTTTTTTAAATCTTTATTAGAAATCTTATTAGAAACGGAAAATAAAAATGTTGATATTTAGAGGTCTTAATGTTTATTATTTTTATTCTTCTATCTCATAGGGATATAATTAAGCTAAATTTACAGAAAAATGTTCTGATTATCAACAAAATGTTGGCTACCAACAAGAAATATACACAAAATGCATTCTGATCATATCAATCAGAATTTTATAATTAAATATTGTAATTGAATTTTTAGCTATTTCGATTAGAACATTTGATAGATTTAACTATAAGTATTTGATTTAAACTTTGATAATTGAATCTATTAAAATTTCAATTAATGCAACAATACTTTTTCCCAATGTAATTATATTATTATATATTAATAAATAATGTAAATACAAAATAAAAATTTTTTTAGATATTCTGTGCTCTACTTATCAACCAGTATATCTTTAAATCGTCTACGTAAAGATTTATCATTGATCACATATATCTTACTAAAAAGGAGGCGGCACCAAGTACATGTATTATTAATGACAATCGCTATCTATTGTTTCAACGATTTACAAAATTATAGACACAATTGTTTAAATTAATTATGTAATTTCCTTTTTTTTAAATTTTTTAAACTTTCAGGAAGAAATGTTTATGT